CTTCATGAGTTCATGGAGCGGGTTTATGAGCGTGCCGGTAAGCGGACAAAACTTGCAGTTTCCCGCTTCAAGCTTTCCAATTTTGGATGGGGAACTACCGAACTTCGGGCATTTGAGAAATGCAAGCAAGCTCTCGCCGATCAAGTCACATTGTCTCATCGCGACTACAAAAAGCGGCTCGTATTTTACACCGATGCATCGGACGCCGTATGGTCCGGCATGGCCACGCAGGTCCCTTATGAGGACCTTAAATTACCGCATTCGGAAAGGCGACATGAGCCGTTGGCGTTCCTCTCTGGCCGTTTTAATGCCGTGCAATTCGGGTGGTCCATCCTCGAGAAGGAAAAGTATGCCATATTGGCAACGCTTGAGCGCACGCACTGGATCGCCACTACTTCGGAAGGTTTTGATCTGTACACAGATCACAATAACCTTATCTTTCTTTTCGATCCGCTTGCGGTTGTTCCCGATCTGTCCCAGACTACCTTGCGTAAGGTTCTCCGCTGGGTGGTTCGGTTGAGTATCTACAACTATACCTGTTTCCACATTCGGGGACAGGACAATGTATGGGCCGATCTTCTCGGACGTTGGTCCGCCCCCCCAACGCTACGCCGTCTCGTCCGAATTCCGGAATTACCGTCTTCATCGGCAGAAGAATTTGAGTGGCCCAGCAGGGATGCTATTGCTGCTGTTCAAGTCACCGCCGAATCGGATCGTCCTTCAAACCTAAAAAAGGTAGGAGGACTGTGGGCTAATCCCATTGGAGCCGTGTGGATACCGGATACGGATGCGGACCTACAGCTCCGTTTGTGCATCATTGCCCATACCGGTCCGTCGGGTCATCGTGGACGAGATTCCACTCTCCGCGTATTGCGGAAATCGTTCTTTTGGTCGACGATGTCGACCAATGTCCGGACCTTCGTGCGCGCTTGTCTCCATTGTCTATCGACAATTGGAGGGGGAAAGGTTCCCCGCCCGTTCGGTCCATCCGTTTTCGGAAGTGCGGCTAACGACCTCTTACAGTGTGATGGAATAAAAGGTGTTGTCTTGATACATACCGATAGATACGATACATGTAAACAAATAGAAATAGACATTCATCATGTGTTTGCGCTCGTTCCTGATTCGTGAGTTCAGAGCGCCGCCGAGTTGTCCAGAATACCATCGTGAGGTCGAGACACGAATCTTTCGGGCCGTACCATGCCTGATGCATGAAGATTGCGACAGAGGAAGCGACTTTCTCTGCGAAAAACAAAAAATGTGGACTGGTCTTCAATGGAATGAATGTGTTTGAAAGAATACAAAGCGGCAAGTGCTATATTGTATCAGGGATAGTATCGTCGAGCGGCACGGGGGAAGTCGAGATCGTGTACATATGAACTCTTTAGATGCCACTTTGAAGCAATATGCGTGATAAACAGTCTGATGAAGTGACCAGGTGGAAGAGCAAACAGCTATTTCTTTCTCAAGGTCGTTTTGAAATTTTCAGCTTTTTGGCTACCGCACACATAACATGGCAATACGCCTGCGGGATCCGCCCGGTAAGCGCGACTTACAATCATTCCTAAGTTTGCAGTACGCATTTTGCAATTGTGCATCCTGTCTTGGATATTCATGCCGCAGAAGCAAGGCAGATACAAGTGTACATCGACATCTGTCGAGATCAACTACGACAAGAAATATTTACCCTAAGACCCATCCGAGAGTTCGCAAGGATATTTGAAAAGGCTTCAATGCCTTGTTGGCTGCGTGCTTATCTGATTATATTCATCAATACTCTCTGAAATAACAGATGCTAGTCGACCTGCCACAGAGCAAAATTCACCGTCATCCTATGATCTTGTATGTTCGAGAATGCATACGTCCGTTGGAGGCGGAGAACGCGGTGCGAGTTGTTGTATCACAACGCATTTGCATTTCTATCGGCACATGACACCTCTTATATGGCCAAAGTTATAGCATATTCTGGAGAATGACCCCATTTTGCAGGCAGCCGGCCTGCGTCGTTCAGAATCCGTCTAGCCAATCCCCACCACACAGGCAATTTTGGAGTTGACAGCTCGGGTTGTACTCAAGACCCAACCAAGATTATTTTGCTGCGCTGCCGGACACGAGCCGCAAGAAGCGCTCCCACTGTTTTGTGACGCAAAGCCTTTGCCTTTATTTTTGAGGTCAGCCATACAGTCCGAATTTACGCATGTTCAGAAGAAACTACTTCTAATTTTATGGGCACCTTAGACGACGATCCACACCCAAAACGTACCTCCCCTTACTGGATCGAAAGGAAAAGGTCGAGAGCTTTCCTGGTAAGCACAATGTGCTGTTGGTATCCCGGCAACTTCACTCTCAACAATGCTGATCATGAGACACTACAAGAGCGTGCGGGGTGAACCGACCGGGTCAGATCTAATCGTATTGTAATCAATGCTCTCATTTCTTCTTCCACAGTTGCATCGTTTGGCAAAAATGGGGGCTAAGGTGGATGCGGAGCGGCGGGTCGTAAAGATCTCTTCCATCCACAGCAGTATCCTGTGCTCCAGCATTATCATAACATAAAATCTGGGTATGATTGGCCGCCCAGGCCTCCATGACGGGGTGTAGCGCAGGGGGCTACGCGAAGACCAAGTCGCGCGCCGGAAGATGAGGCGAGCGCCTCCGCGCCCACGCACACCTCATCCTCGTCCCTCCGCTATTGGCGCTGGAAGGCTCGAGCGATTGCGAGGGCTCTCCCTCCAGCACTGCCTTCTCTGCGGCTTCTGGGCTCATGGTCATGGAGAGCACCCTGATGGCCCCATCACCATCTGGTAGCGACGCGGCCTCGGAGATGCAGATGAGACCATCCTCCTCGCTGAACGGGCTGAGAAAGCGGAGCTCGCCGTCGGTTCATGCGGAAGAGTCCTCTCAGGGAAGGGTTTCCAGAGAGACGCACTTGCCGAGCTTGCAGCGGTGGGGGGGACGCAATTATCGGTGGAAGTGCATATTTCGAAGTTGAGGCCCACGCGAACCTGTTGCGGAAGCACGGGCCGCCATCTGCCGGTGCGAGGATGAGCAGCAGTAGCAGCGTGGGGAGCAGAGACATGACGGAAAAGTATGTTGATGGATCGTGCTAGCTCGAACTAGGGGAAGTGTGGAACGGGCTCCCAAACGAGACGAAAGTGCAAGTGTGGAGAACAGATGTGTGGGAGGCGGGAGCGGGGGCGGTAGAAGGAGGTCGGCATTCGCTACGCCTGTGCATTCCTGGCGTCCATCTCCAATTTTCGCGTTCCATGTAGCGCTACCGAAGGACCTCCGAACCAGAACGTTACCGTCATAACAGGTCAAGCAGACGACCCCCGCTACTCTCGATTTGACATCAACGGCATTTTCCTCCGACCTCCAAATCCACACGCTATTATCTTCAACCCTCTAACTCGCCAATTACTCGCCCTGGTTGCTGTCTTCTTGTCACGCAAACCTCGCTGGCTTCTTTGTTAATGTCATCCCACCAAGTCGCAGCTCCCTTCGCCAGCAACTGCAGTTTCATTACTTCAGTCAAGATTTTTGCCGCGAGGCCTGCTTCGCGGGTCATAAGAAGTTGAAGGGGACCAATAATTGATATGAACGATTTGCATCGCCGCCTTGCATTTCTTGTCAAGCACCCCTGCCGCAGTAGAAGATTTACGGCTTGTGAAGTAAGTATGACTTCTTACGTAGTTCTACAGCTAATATCACAGTGTCAATTTGGAAGCAGATCGCACGCTCGTACAACCGCGCAGCAAGACCCGCATTAATCCCCACCCCCGTGCCTCGCCCTAGCGTGTCGCCAAACTCCACAATCGTCTCGGCGTCACCGTGCCACTCAAATAACGTCAAAGCCCGCGCTGCATCCTGCTACACCCCTTTCCCGCCGTCTGGCAATAGGCGCCCCAGGAAACGCACCAATTTTTGATGGCCAGCTCGTACAATTCTGCCGCCGGGTCCATGGCCGTATCCACTCCTCACGAGCCATTTGATACTGGCTAGTATGAACTCACGATTGACTCGAACCTATTATACTGCTCAATCGCTCTTTGAAAACCTTTGCCGCCCCAGTTACATTCTGCACCACCTCGTACTGTCGAACCATCACCAGGATTGCCAGGGAGGACTTTGCACGGCGATCACGACTTTTCGCGATCTCGTATTGAAACAATTCGACTGCCGGATCTATATTCTTCTCTACTTCCTCCGTGGCGTCATTCAGCAGGACTCCGAAAGCGACAATCGCGCCGGCGCTTTCATTTCGGTGGATCGCGTCTTCACATAACTTGCCAGCCCGTACTGCGTTCGCCTGGATTCCCTCCGCTCCCTCAACGAGCAGGTTACCCAGACTGACCACGGCGTCAGAATCATAGTGCTCCTCAATCGTTCGTTCGTACGACCCCATAGGACACTTCTCGTCGATCTCGACCCGTCCGGGGCCTTCTGCGCAGATAGGCTGTCAGGGCGCACCATCGCGCCGACGGGCACCATCGCTCGGACAGGATCGCACTCCTCAATCGTTCGCTCATGGTACTGGAAGATTGGTCTCAGAATATTACAAGGGAATAACGTCTTCTAGTCCAAAAGAACTTAGTCTTGAAACCACGGAAGAAACATTGTAATTCCCTTCTCCTTATGAGGCTCTTTTCTTACCAGCCATGCCTCCACATCATCATGACTCCGCAGGGTTGAAAACCCAGGCAAATCCTGACACATCATCCTCTGTAAATTTGCTTTCTCGTATGAAAGAAGGCAAAGACTGAGCGCTTTTTTCATCCTGCATGTCTTCCTACCATACAAGCCTTCATCGTGAATTGGAACGCCATCTATGTCACGAAAAGTACAAGAATAACAGCCCCCTGCACCCGCAGCGCCTTGCATGAATCTTGTGCAATTGGCCAAATTGTGGCCTTGCAGACCACACCTCAGACAACGCGACTTGTACCAGGACCACAATTTCTCGTTGTTCGATCTGGCATGCTTAACATGCTTGCGATTCTCTACTGTGCAAGCCGGACAACCATTTTTCCCAGGCGGGCAAAAAATTCCCGAACCTCATCGGCAGATACACTGGTTGTGCTGCTCTTTGTATTCGTAGACCCCGTTGGACTGTTCAGTTGCTGAATATCTGTGACATTTTCATTTTGGACGGATTTGTAAAGCTCGGGGTGACAGACGTCGCAGGCCTGAATGCCTCTTTCCGAGCACGACTTCGAAGGAACAGCACCATCAGCAAAGCGATCTAAAATCCATCTCCGACACGTCTTGGAGTTCCCTTGCAGTAGTGTCACCTCCCCGACGAAACTCTCTGAGGTGGGCCCGTGTGCCTGTAGTCGATCTGGCTTGAAGGGAAGCCTGTCAGCAGGCATCCTCTTCCACTGGGCACCGTAAACATTAAAAACAGTACTTGTTCCAAGGTCACCATCACGACCAGCTCTCCCGCTTTCTTGAATAAACTCGATGAGACTGCCTGGCAAGCCTGCATGAATGACTATTCGGACTGTTAGAATGTCAAAGCCGCAGCCGAAAGCTGACGTGGCTACCATGATATGTGCTTTTCCGTCGGCTGTGTGAGCCCAACCACCTTGCCTGTTAGTTCGCTCTGCAGGACTCCTTCCAGCATGGTACATAAAGCAAGGCGTGCCGGGCATGAGACCTGACAATATTGACGTTAATAAACTGCAGGACTCTCTCGTTGGAACGTACACAATAGCTCTGCAGTCTGATATGTTATATTCCTTCAGTTGGGAGCTCAAAGTAGCGTCAACAGACCGGTACAATGCTTGCCGCGTAACATCTCTCACTTCGTACTTGATGTTAGATCTCGACGTTTGCTGTCGAATAACAGACCAAGTTTTCATGCCACAAGCGTGAGCAATGTGCTCGGTGAGTAAGGGGGGTGATGTTGCAGTCAACGTTAAATTGGAACTCTCACACCTAGTGGGCGGATGTGGTCTCGCAGGGTATCTATAGCAACTCTAAATTCAAGCCAAAGTACTACCAGATGACCCTCATCAATAAATATGGCAAGGAGCCAGCCAGCCAGGAGTAGGTTCCCCATGTAGACTTGGTAATCTTTTTTCGAAACATGTTCCACGCTTGCAATAATAACCCTGGATCCTGCAGCTTCCCGATCTCGCCAGAGAGAGGCTTGTATTCCAACTTTAGAGCACCTTCTCAAAATGTCCTCTTGCAACGCCACCAGAGGAAAACTAACTACGACTGCCTTGTTCGGTTTCACGAAAGCAGACATCATGAATGTCATCGACTTTCCCGCACCTGTCGGAAGGACCACAAGCGTATATTTTTCGGCATCAATGGCCATGTCTACAGCGTTTTCTTGCTCCTTTGACTGGAACTGTGCCTCGTGTTTGTCCAGAAATAGACCCATTTCCGTTTTCTAGCTCCTTTTCTCCTTTCTGTCTTCAGATCGAGGCTTTTTCTGCAACCTTGAAAAGGGAATATCCAGACCGGCTAGTTATGCATTTCTTTTGATAAAAGTGAGAGATTTGACTGATTCCATTACATGCTGCTGAAAAGTTTGACACACAGACATGCATTTCGCCTGCTCGGAGCGAATACTGAAAATTGCCTCTTCCATTTTCTCCAGCCTTGAGCCCACATCTTGTGAGGGAATCTTTCTTGCTTTCAGACCGCCAATGTGGACCAGACCATCCGAGTCTGACGCTCTGCTCGATTCCCTTCCCGATATCCCATTTTCAGACACTGGGCTCGACTCAGACATTTCATCCCCGAAAGGACACGAGGTCCCATGTTTCATTCCATTGGAGTTGTGCCAGGTCTGAGAAGCTTGCCTATAAGCCTCGATTTCAGTGCCAGTGACCTTGTGCATATCCAACTCTGAGACCCCGTAATTATTATGGCAAGTCTCTTCAGTGTGTCCTGATTGGTTATGTATTATAAAACTCGCAGAGGCTCTTCAATTCTTTTGCTCCGCTTCTGCACCTGCATGCCCACCGATAAAGTTTTTGATAACTCCGGCATGGTACTGGCGATACTGACTTGTTTGAAGGGGGATCCCCATTACCTTAGTTTCTAACTCAAACCATATACGTAGCCGGTCGGCATTTATTGCCTCGCTACGGCTCACAAATAAGAAGTCCCGATGATATGTTAAAGATATGTCTGCTGTTGAAGGCCTAGCGCCGTCACACTGCAGTGCTAATGCCAGAGCCCTTCCACCGGTCGGACAACAATTAGATACGCCATAATGATACCCGCTGTGACCGCATCTGGGTACCTGACTATGGGCTTGCCCAATCCCTCGTGCATATTCCTGCTTTTGTGATAGAATATGGCAGAGAACAACTGTCCGTTGCTGAGGTACAGGTTGTGACAAGCCGTAGATGAGTTGCAAATCTGTACCGCACCAACTTCACTTGCGCGAGCAGGGGCACCCGAACATATCTGGGGCAAAACGTAGATAACGCGTTGCAACTCCTCGCATTTGTTGATGAAATCTTTTGTTTTCTTCAGGTTGAAGTTTCCCTGCCCATCGAGAATAACAGGCTGCAGCATGTCCTTCAAAGCATGGGACCAGTGACGATACACATGAAAATTTGCCCTGTGACTTGCAAACCAATAACTCGGGGTTCTGTCCGTGAATGTGTCTTGCATTTCCGCGCAGGCCTGCCAGAAATCGGCAGTGATAACCAGGCCATTGATAATACCGCCGCTGAGCAAGTACCATGCTTTGCGCTGTAGAGCCTTCATCTTTTCACCAAGTTTGGACAGAGAGAGTTCGATACCGTCGACGATAGCGCAGTGATGATGACGGGGATACAATATGAACCTCACCTTCTGCATCTCTCCATCTCGAACCCTGTGGCACACTTTTATGCAGTACTGAACAAAGCAGACACCGGTGTCTAGGTTGCCCTGCGTAGCTTTCGCAATGCGTTCCCAGCCTTCCGTGGTGTCAGAAGGACCTTTTATATACAACTCTGTAACTGCAACGCACTTTGCAAGGTGCTTCAGTGCAGCGATCATAGGGGACACCTCGTTGGCGGTACCCAATCGGAACGATGTTTTGTCTCGGCTTGAAAATACTGAAGAACATGAAATGAAGAGGATGAAGCCATCTTCCTCGTCAGAGATCGCTTCAAAAAAGAGAGACAAGAGTAATTCATGCAGCAGGGCCAGACTCTCATCCTCCGTGGAGTTGGTGAAATGGGAGAGATGGGTCAATATATTGACACTGCGGCCAGGTAAATGGGTGAAGAGGGATGACTCATCCACGCAACTAGCAAACAAAAACGATAATAGGCGACTTGTACGGGCATCGTATAAATCGACCGCGCTGTTTGATAAGGAGAGAGATAGGTCGGAGTCCATAAACGAGTGAGCTTTGATGTACACCTTTCGCTCTGTGGTGTCAAAAGCTCGTTTGTGATATGATGCCATGAGTCTCCGCGCATACTTATCACGTTGTGTATTTGATATAGAGGCGAGCTGGAACGCCTTATTGTACAAGAGGTCATTGTTTTGGAGATGCTTATCAAACCTCATTATCGAACCAAAGAATTCATACGCGAGATGTCGACATTTGCAATTCCCGAGGGCTTGCGACTCTCCATCTTCAACAGAATATTTGTTATCTCACAAGGAGGTGCGATTTGAACACCAGAAACAACCTCGAAGTACTTTTGTCTTCTGTTGCCACCAAATATGGATTGGGCATTAACGCCAATGTGGGGAGTATCCGTGTCGATAAATTTAGACTTTGAGCACTCTGCACCACTCATATGCTTACGCATCGTGCCCTCCATTCGCGAAATATATGCACATCTCGGGCACTTCAAACACTGTCTAACTGGAATGATGTCCATTGTGGGGAGAATTGGTCCCATGACAGAATCGGAGACGGTAGTCCGCATGTATTTTTGGCGAAGTTCTTGGTTCTGACTGTGATCGATCTCACTGCGGGCGGCAGTGACAAGTCGTTCAACTTCCTTTAGCTCTGCTGCCGAGGAGAGCTTGTGAGTCTTACGGAGATGAGGCCTAACGTTTGAAATTTCGACTGCATAACCACACTTGCTGTCTGTACAGACAAGCAGATCGAGCGTTGGGAAATAAACAAACTTGAACATCTCGAAAGTAGCAGTTAACAAACCTCGTTAAAATTAGTGTCGGGACTGGGAGGTGTGGAAGTGAGAGAGAAGGAATTGTGGACGTACCGTAAAAGGAGCCAGAGCAGGAAAAGTGACCTGATGGAACGTACAATTGACGCAGGCTCCTACGCAGGACTGGAGTTCCCGCCAATTTAGGCTGCAGTGCTTGGCTCTGACCGGTTGTGTCATCTGTTTTACCAATCAGTAATCATACGTAACGAGTTTCACAATCGTAAAGTGAGGTTAGAACGTCCCTCATGCGCAGTCTCCAGCGCCTCCTCGTGCAGGGTCCTCCGTGCATGCTGTCCCATCAGTTCACCGCCGATCTCAGCCCGTTCCCTCGCCTTCATTTGCGGCAAGTGTGGGCATGTGGGTTAAATCATTTTCGGTCTTCATCATTAAAAACAATTTGATAATGTCGGGTTATTGCTGCGGCAAATTATTTGATGTGCAAAGTAAATTTTTTGAACCAAAACAATTTTGTTCGTATTACTAGGCACGCTTAGAGTACTTCTTCTAGTGGGAAACAGTTTTCCCAATATAATTCGCGGATATCATGGGGGGCTTGGCAATGGTGTGCCAACGGTTGATGGATCCCTTCTGTGATGCCAAGTGGACCAGTCGTAGCTGTTCAGACTTGCGCCTTATGTGCCCTGGGTCACCTTTGTGCACGTTGTACAGTAAAATGTTACTGTAATTAGTATGGCAGAGCTCACACTTAATTGTAAGCTTTTTTTAACTCTTTGTCCAGATATTGTAGTGCGCTATTAAATCCGCGGGCACCAATCAATGCCTTAATGTGGTCTTCCGTTAAATGGTTTTCCTGCCACGCTTGGTGAGCGGGCTTTATCACCTTGCACGTATAACACGTGGTGCCACTGTGCGGGGCGGACCGGGGGGCTAGGGCGATTGTTGGACCGCGATCCAGTTCTTGGCTTCGAGCCCCCCAATAAAATCAATTTCGGTTTTTAGTACTGTAGCCTTTGGCTCCGTAGAAACTGCCACTACTTTAGTGGCCTCGACAGGGGGGCTCGATTTCTTGTCGACACGTGTCACCGTTGTGACCTCTGCAACCTAAGCCTCGGCGGGCTTACTGTTAGGCTCTGGCTTACACACTGTAATGGCAATAAAAATAATGGTTCAAAATCGGTTAGCGATGCGACCAGTTGTCACGTGCCTCATGGACACGTGGACTGGTTTTAGAAGGTTTGGACTTACTTTCGAAAATTCGGGAGTTGTGTTCGGGGGTAGACTCAGATGTTCTATTGACGTTCTGGTTCTAGTCGGTTGGTGGGCTCCATGGGTTAAGCAGTGGCTGTGCCTGCCTCTACAACTCCCCGTCGCTCTCGAACTGGGACCTTTATAGAATTCTAGAAGGTAGCTACTCCACAAGTCAAATAGCCCCGACCACACTAAAAACCATCCTTTCCAATAAAACCCCTCCTAAATGGCCTCTTCTAGCCACATTTTCACTCCTTCGCCCGTCTCGCCATGGTTCTTGTCGCCTGCGGATCCCGTCAGATCTTGCTGGCGCTGACCGGGTCGTCCTCGGGGACTCTTTTCGGTATGGAGTCCCCACTTCTTTACAAAGAGGACGACCTCTCAGTCATGGTGAGGCCTGTAGTAGCGTGTACTGTACTGTACACGTCCCGTACAGTAGGCTCCTGTCCCGCTCAGCTCTTAACTGCAGTCTTGAGAGTACTGTCAAGAGGCTGAGCGGGACACTATCTTTACACTTAATCATTAACGAATTTTGGGCCAAAAGTCTCAGACCTCAATTTTACCAACAGGTCATGTGCCCAGATTTACGCTATCATTCTTGAGTTGGATCCTCACGGGGTGCACTTCGGTCGACACAATGTTGGGTGGTTGGTTTGTGTCACACTTGGAATTGTACCAGCCTGCGTGATTTTTCGGTGACCCGCGCTGTGTGCTTGGCGTCCCATGATCGCGAGGGAGTGTTGGAGCACTGAGCGAGCCTCAAGAGAACACCAAGAAGCCAGCGACTGTGGCTGAGTGGAAAAACATTTTGCGCCCAAATCTGCAGACCTCGTTGAGGGCCCAGATTGACAGTACTGCCTGTGAGTTTAATTTTCATCGGCTGAGTAAGGCGAGACGGGGAAGCTGCCACCGCCTACAGGAACGTGTGCCAGTCCTTGGTAGCGTAGGTAGTAGAGCCAGGAGGGGTGTGAAGGCCGTAGTGTGGCCACAGGATTACATTGACGCCTCAACGCCCGGAGTGGTACTGGGTGATGTTCCGGTACTGGCGGGCAGAGGCGGATCTCGGCTTGCACGCATATGGTTGTGACGTACCGCCACATGTATGATTACCAACCCGCATTTACCTGTATTTAGACTACTTTAGATGTTACGTTCGGACTGGTGCAGAATTGTTTACCTTAGGGTAGGTTTTCGATCACTTTGCATTACAGGGATTTTCTGGGTAGAGCAGGACGTATTCTCTAAGCAGAACGCGCCTTACTGCATACAACGTCTTATTCTAACGACATAGGCCTGGTGCACCAATAGGTAGGGAGCCCTGTTTGTTGAGTTCCTACGCTACGGGAATCGCCTAGGATGGCCGTGTCTAGGCACAAAACACATTAGTTATGCAGAAACACTACAGTAAACGTAGGTCCAATTCTCCATATATACCGTGCTCGAAGATGCCGTCCGCCCACCCGGAGGCAACGTGCCCTTCAGACCCCACACAGTGGTGTCATCGCGAGAAGGGGTCGCCATTTCCGGTTCTCTTGATCCATCTACCGGGCCAAAATCTCATTTGGAGTTGCTCCGAGGGCCGATCAGTGAGCAGAGACTAACCGTTTGATTTTTTACTCTGATCTCCTGGGATAACCCGAAGTGCCGTCTACTTACCCGACGTCGAATTTGACAATTCTTAGAATGATGTTTGGCAATAATGTCACGGTGTTTAATCTATACAATGATTTTATATTCACGCCTTTGTCCAAGTTTGAAAAGTCAAACATTGCCCTCACCCCCCAAATGTTGCATATATACAGACGAACGTTATCAGTGCCGCGGGAAGACGGACCTTCCACAACGATGGCGTCTCTTTCCCGTTGGAACCGCCATCAGTGGCTTTACCAGCCCGCCTGCAATCTGCCAAGTTTTCATGGACCTGGTAATTACCTTCGCAACGGTTGTATCAGCCTGCTTTTGGCATGCCCTCCCGGTTCCGAACTATCAAGGCTCCAAGTCATTGGATCTCTTCGTGCAGGATTGTTACCGGCAGAAAAGGCGCTTCACATTGATTCGCTGGTCAATTCGGTACGGGAAATAGATCTTTTAAGGGATTTTTGCTCGCATTACCGTTGTTTGCTGATGCCATTCTCAGTTATCTCTGCTCTTCCAATGCGATTTGTCTCTGCCTCGGTTTTTTCGACATCGCTTGGTTTGCTTCGGTCTTCTACAAGTATACTCCGTACCAAGTCATAAACTTCTGCATGACTTTGAGGATGCCAGTACGGAGCATGAGTATTTTCTTCCTTAGACTATCCCAAGTACTCACTTGACCCCAAAAGTAAGCAATGTTTGAATGTCCTTCACTGTGCAAATATTCAGAACGACTCAGAAGACGCCTTTAGTTTTGCACTTGCAGATAGTTCCCTTTACGACCAAGTTTTGCATTCATAAAACTGACAGATGTTTGAATACTACTGAAAACTCATTTGTTTGCATCCATTGCCAGAAGATGTTTAGAATATAACCAGTCAACATTTAGTTGTCATAAGTTCGTTCCAGTGATGAAGGCATTTTAATGGCTCAAAATGTGATACAACAACTAGGACTTACCCCACAATCCCACTGTAAGTTGGGAATTCGATCACCATGTAAACACCAATTCAACTAAATCCCATTTGCAAAATTCCAACATTTGTCAGTCAGAACAAGATAATTATAAATATTCAGATGTAATTTGGAAAATCAACAAATATGTGTAATTTCAAACAAATGGGATTTGCAGAAAAGTGGGATTAGCCCATCGTGGGATTAGGGGATATAGTGTTCCTCGCCGAAGCCGAGGAGGCAATGGGTGCTGAGCGCTGTCACTAAGTATATTACGCCATGAAAGTGTGCCCTCCAGGAGCTTTCTCGGCCGTCAGAATAACTGAACGGTTCTGACACAAAACGTTTCTGCAAGTACAAATTTCGATGTATGTGCGAAAACAGAACCTCCAGTGGAACATGCCCCCCATGGCCCCGCCACGCTCGATTTCTCGTTTCCAAACATTCCCGTCCGCAGAACCGATTTTCACACATTATCACGTCGACCCCCCATGCGCCCTCTCTGGCGCACCTACCAACTCCCCACACATACAACAAATTTACAATACTGACAAAATTATGTTTTGATTTTTTGCCACCCCCCAAGGCAGGCGCACGAGCAATATTTTTAATTTCAATTTTCTAACCCTTCTGTTCAACTGACCAACCCTTCTGTTCCAACCCGCTAAACGCTTCTGTTTTCAAACCTTTTCATTACTACGTACTTACCCATGCGCACTCATTCAATAGTGCATCCCTTTTCCATTTGCGCGCCATTTCATTTGTTAAATACTGAATAAAACTAATACCGCCGCAATTGCCCCAATACACCTCATTTCAAAATATGCCTCCCTCGCAGAACCGTTCTGCAGGGAACCCCCCAAAACAGTGCTGCACGGCACGATTTCCCTCCGGTCTGGCAAAATCCCTTGAAAACCCGTTCTGCAGGGCTCCCCCAAAACACAACCGCACGGCACGATTTCCCTTCTGTTTGGCAAAATTCCTTGCAGAACCGTTCTGCAGGGCACTCCCCCAAATCACTATACCCATGGGTTGGACGGATAAGGGGTTAGGCGTCGAAAATGGCATCGGCATTGAAGATTGCTAGGATGGAAGGCCTATTGGCTTCATAAAAAATCTGTAAACATTATATGAAAGCACGGGCCATGGCCCGTGCTTTCAAATATTTT